TAGTATATGATATAGATACTGATTACTATATTAAAAGCTAAATTTATTAATAAAATATATTAAAATTAATAATTTATTAAAAAATAATTTTTCTTTTATATTAAAATAAAGTTTATTAGTTATAATTTAATATATATTTTTTTCAAAATTTTTAGATTTTTTCTGAAAGAGTAAAAAATTAGTACAAAAATTTTTATTAATTTTTAATTAGTAAAAATTTTTATACTAACTTTATAATTAGAATTATTCTTTCAGAAAAAATCTAAAAAATCTGAAAAAAATTATATAAACTATAAATAATAAACTTTATTTTGATATTAAAATAAAAATTATTTCTTAATAAAATTATAAATTTTAATATAGAAAGAAAATTTTAATTTTCATTATATTTTATTAATAAATTTAGTTCCTAATATATTATTTTTAACTGTTATTATATTTCTTAATAAAATTATAAATTTTAATAGAGAGAAAATTCAATTTTCACTATATTTTATTAATAAATTTATATTGACTTTTGATTATTATTGTAATATTATATATATTATATAAGAATTATTAGAATATGACAAATTTCAGATTTCTTTCAGAAATAAGTTAATAAAACTTGAAATTTATCAGATTTATTTTAATATAAGAAACAGATTTTTGCCAGAAAAATTTCCTGAATTTTTCCTGAAAAATCCTGTTTTGATTTAAAGTTTACCAAATGTGAATCTGAAATTCTTCAGAGATGCTTTTTTATTGGAAATATATAAATCAAAAATTTTAGCTCTTCATTCAAAAATGTTTATATTATAATTTATTATTTTATTATATTTTATCAGAGAGAATTGGAGTAGATTTATCTAATAAAAAATATGCTTTCTGATGAGAAATATTTACATATCAATTTTCAGCTAAATTAATTCCAAATTTATTTAGTTGTTTGATCATAGATGAATGCTAATAAATAATCCAACAATTTTTTTACTGGTATTCATCATATTTATTAAGACAATCTGCTTTAATCCTTTCCTGATTAATTAAAAATATTCATGTAAATCACTATTTCTTTTGAATAGCAACATTAATATCTTTTTTTTCTCTAAGTTAATAGCTTTAAAATGAGTATAGGAACCAGATATATTAAATCGATGCTAAAGACACTAGAATTTTTTTCATAAATATTTTCATATTACATTTCCTCTGTGTTCTACTGTATAACAAAAAATAATTTAACTTCATTGGAAAAAGAACTCGTATCCACTTTTATTGAAGTCTTTGATGATATATGATTATCTCAAAATGTCGTTACAAGAAAAACTTGGTAAGACAAGTTAAGCCAACCAATATATATTAGTATACTATAATAATTTTAAATTATATATTCGTAAATTTATAAAATCTTACCTTCCGTTATAACATGTTTCATAGTACATTACTTCTAGTCTTACCGAAAACACATTTATTACATTCATGAGTATTATAAACTTTATACACTGCACAGTACTTCATATCTTATCATTGCAATATTAAACCGGATTTACTATATTTCATGGAAATGACGCGTAAGAGTCAGTTATGTGTTGAGATCAAATTTCTTTAATTTCTTTACAAAGTCATTTATTATTTCAGGAAGCATTAAAGTTGTATGTCTTCTTGGTATTGGCTATTGTCGTTTTAAGAATATTAAATCGGTTTTGATTTGTGAAAATGCAAAGACTTATTATAATGAATATCGCGTAAACAGTTGGACTATTTCCAAAAAATAGGATTTCAGCAATTTCTCAATACTCATAGATAGATGTCGGACATAAAACATAATAAACCTGTTCGTATCATTTTTATGACTAAATGGAATGATGATTTATATTGTTGATGCAAAAAACTAGTAATAAAATGAACTACATAAAAAAACATAATAAAAAATCAGCGCATAACGATAAATAAATAGGCGCATAAAATTAGCGCGTTAATGATGATAACCAATAAAATGATATATGAAAATGACACGCTGATTTTGTTTGTTATCGTTATTGTAGCAGACATTCGCATTCTTTGGGTTCTCTTTAGTACATTAGATGCGACGTAAAAAAGTACTGTCACCTCGCAAGACATTTTTTGGAAACATTCTCTTTGTGCCGGATTTGTTTTCGTGACAGTAACTTCTTTACGTCGTGGCTAGAGTACTAGTTCCCCTTTTCATTTTTGTTTTTTATCGCTTTTTCATAGCTATAGTCTTCTTGTTTCTTGTTATTTATGTTGGTGCGCATACCCAGTCCTCGCTATCGACCTAAAACTTTAGCGAACTTTCTAGAGATTCGATGCCAATAGATTTGAGCCTTTGAAATACCCTACTTACTGTTTTACAGCGTCAGTCAGTGATAGCGCAGGTAGTGGGCCGTTCTTCTGCTTTTTGGGAGAAACCACTGTCGGGCTTCGAAGGAGACCCGTTGGATTGATGTTTAACCCTCTATAGTTCTGCCGTATGGGTTGAGTTGGAACCATTCTTGATTGAAGATAACTCGACCCTTAGTAGAACGTATGGTTTATAATTCATTTTCCTTACGATACTCGGGAGTTTGATTCGAACCCATCAGTACTTGGAGGTTTGTATGTATAGGCTTCTTTAGAGTGGAGGTTCGGTTCCTCCCGGGTGATTCTTCTCGCTTTTTCTTTTCATCAGAAGTTCCCGTATGGCTAGTCTCTTCCGAGGCGAAGGTTCAATTCCTTCCGGGTTCAATTTATTTACTGGCTATGTCAATCAGTAAGTTTGGAATTATAGATTTTTCGGTTTGTTATTTCCACGACTACTAGGAGTTCCAGAAGAAAACTCACGAAACGGAATTTTGTGTTTCAAAACCGTCACGTTACCGCGCGATAAAGAAGTTTGAATTTTATATCGCGATTTGTGAGATCTCAAGTGTGAAGTCAATTAAGAATTCAGTCTGAATTTTTTGAGTTAACAATTACGAAATTATCAATTCTACTCGATTATCTACTTGAAGCCACTGAAATATTTCAAAGGAAAACCATTCATGCACTCAATGCTCAACAAATAGAAGAAAACTATAATTTTATATTCCAGTTGTCTAAAATACATGATCGCAAACATTAATAATATTAATATAATGTTCTTATTCCAGACTTGAAATGAATTATTTACTTATTCCTTTAAAACCAAGTATCAACGTAAAGGGATTAATAATAAGACAAGGAATATGCAATTCGTTTGTAACTCACCTGAATTTGGCAGCAATTAAATGCTGACGAACTTCGTCCGAATTGTTGCGTTAATTAAGATACCAAAAATTGGTTTTTCATTTTTTGGACTGGTGATACTAACGAACACAGTAACCGTGCATTTTTCACGGCTGATTTCCATGTTATTTTTCATAGGATTTTAAAGATTTATTCTGTATGCGTTCAAGTATTAATATCAAAACGTGTTCTTTAGAATAAATTTTTTTTGTATTTAATGTTCTGACCAATTTATTGGTATTACATGTACTGTATACATGTACCTGCATACATGTACACGACACAAAAAGAAACGCCCGATTTTTTGAAAAATAAATTTTCGGATTTACTCTATTTCTGTCTTACGAATATAAAAATATTTTTAATCAATAGCTAATACATTATTAGCTCTTCATATAGCTCTAATATCGCTTTGATTTCATAAGTCATTGAGCCTACAACGTCCTAAAAACCAACACATCGAATTTCCTTCAGAATAGTCTTGAGCTTTTTCGCGATCCTTGGGAAGCTTATACACTGGAATATTGTTCCCTGATGACTTGAAGACTTTTCTATGAAGTTTGGGTCATGAGAACACAACATTCATTAATTTCTTTATTTGATTCTATTCATGGCTAATGTAGATCAAGTTTTATTTTTTTGTTATCTCAAATCAATGAACAAATTATATTATGAAAAGGACCAAATTAACTTAGAGAATCTTTAGATAAGCTTTTGCACAAATTTTTTTATTATCAATGTTGTGAAATTACTCAGGATGTCTTTTTTTGCTTCTTGTATAGGTGCAATTTTTTTTCTTGATTTTTAAAAGCCTATGGTCTCCCAGACAGTGATAAATTTTTGTTTTTCCTGTCTCTTTTGTACTTGGCAAGAGACCATTACACTATCATCGGGTTACAACACATTTGTCTTGATTTGAGAGAACATGATGTTCAAAAAAAATAAAACTTGATTTACATTAGGGAAAAAAATGAAACAAATTCAAATAGAGTAAATCAGTGCCAAGCAAGCTGCAATAAACAAATTATATTATGAAAAGGGATCAAATTACCTTAGAGAATCTTTAGGTAAGTTTTACACAGTTTTTTTATTATCAATGGCTCGGGATGTCTTAGTTTCTTGTATATATGCATTTTTTTCTTGATCGTTATGAGCTTATGGTCTCTCAGACGGTGGTAAATTTTTGTTTCTTTTGTACTTGGCAAGATCATTATACTCTTACTGGGTTCCGTCACATTTTTCTTGCAACTTGCTTGGCACTCAAAACTTCATAAAAATCACTATTTCCATCTTTGTCAAAGATGACCTACTGGTACGACAGGTATCATATTTACATTTAAAAAAATTTCACCTCGTGTATGTTTAAAAGGAAAGAAGAAAATAATAAAAAAATTTAGTGTCAACAATAACAAAAAATGGGAAACGCGACGCATATATTGTTACACATGCAAATCGGGCGTTACTTTTTGTGGCGACTGCACATGTTTATTTATGCATGCAAATAATTATTACATGTATTTAAATATAACATGTACCTTGACCTGATATACAATTTTGAAAGGGAGATTATTAAATATCGACAAGGTTTTTTGAAAGAAACGGAGAAAAGAAATAGTCAGCAAATAGAAGAGGAAAAGACCAATATCAACGAACAATTATAAGTCCAAAAAATCTAAATTATGGAAAAAACCCAATCGTATCAAGCATTAATAGAAATCACCTCTGATTAAGATTGTTTTATTGGTGAACATGCCATTATGGATAAAAAAGTAATAATTCCGGAAAACAAAAAAGTATCTATTGAAGAATTAAGTTACTTTGAAACAGGTGCGAAAGATAATCAAAAAGTGGTTAAGAAGGTAAAAGAAAAAGGACAACAAGCAAGCCAAAAAAAACCTTTGCTGGTTTTAATATCTGGGGGTGTCGCTTCCGGAAAAACTACTTTAACTCAGCAAGCAAAAGAATATTTTGAAAAAAGTTATCAAGGAGAAGTAATAACTCTTTCGATTGATGCTTATTATACTTTTAGCCCGCTACTTTTTCATCTTCGTAATCCTAATCTTTCAGAGGTTTTTCAGTGGGAAGAACTAAACAAAGACTTAGAATTACTTTCGGCAGGAAAATCCATTTATTTACCGATTTATGATGATTCGGAGGGAAGAAGATTTACTCGGTCAAATGGTTTAATTAAGAGTTCATCAGTGGTTATTGTAGAAGGAATTTTTACTTTATTTTACGAAGAAATTAGAGAAAAGTCTGATTTAAGAGTCTATATAGAGGTGGATGATGATTTAAGATTAGTAAGAAGATTAGAAAGGTATAATAAGGGTTTAAAAGAAGGAAAATTCAATAAACCGGTGAAATATGAAATAGCAAGATATAAGACCCAGGCCAAAAAAAATCAGGAAAATTTTGTCGAGCCAACTAAAAGATATGCTGATTTAATTGTTAATAATAATAGTTTGGCGGGGAGTGTGAAGGAAGTGGTTGAAAAAATTGTACATGTATTTAAATCAACTTGAAATGTCATTTTGACTGTATCAATTGTTATTGGAAGTAAAGATTTGACTGTTGTGAATTTGTTTTTTGTTCGTGTTGATAGAAGTTATTTTTGTCATTTTAACTTTTACTTTTCTTGTTTAAGTCACTTTTTAATTTCTTTCTCTGTTTTTTAGAATATTCTTAAGAACTATAATAAAGAAAATCCAAACTTATTCTGTTCCAATTTCCTATTATATTTAATGATATCTTCAGTAGACCTGATAGATTCGATAAAGTCTCGAAGTTACTCAGCAGTTAATCTGTTTTCTGGAATAGGTTCCTAATATTTTCAATAATAAATTTGCAACATCTGGGAGTTTCATATCGTATTTCATTGCAAATATCTAATACATGTACGTGATACCAAATTGTCATTTACAATTTCATACATAACCATCCCAATCACAAGCTATGTCTGTAGCGTTGGTACGTCTTCAGTGGCACTCAAAAGTATTGCATCACCCGGACGATAAATTTCACGATTTAATAACGTTCCATATACAACATCAATCAATATAAATAGGCCCATTTTAATGCCTATATATGGACGAAACATCGTATCATATTTATTTTCATATCGAAAAAAGATAAACAACATTTTACATCAAATTAAGCGATCTGTTTCTTTGATCGTTTTGATAAAATCGAAATTACTCAATAAATTTATGACAATTTAACCCCTAATTTTAATTACAGTCTGTTAAGAAAAAATTGGCCTCTAGCTAGACACGTAAAACTTAAAGCGCATCCTTTCCATATTGAGTATAATAAACACGCCAGATTTTTTTTGAAAACAAAAACAAACCATAAGACTTGCATTTGGTTTCAATTTGAGCCCTTAAACTTTATTCTTTGTCTGTTAAAGATGACTGAAAGCAAGCTTAATTCTCAATGCCAAGCACTTATGAATTTTATGAATAATGGAATCCGATCTCAAACAAAAACAAACCATAAGACTTGCATTTGGTTTCAATTTGAGCCCTTAAACTTTATTCTTTGTCTGTTAAAGATGACTGAAAGCAAGCTTAATTCTCAATGCCAAGCACTTATGAATTTTATGAATAATGGAATCCGATCTCAAACAAAACTCCACAAAATTACTGGCATTCCCCTTTCAACAATTAAGTATAATATTCAAAAATTAAAAAAAACTGGCAATGTTATGCATAGATGAGGTAATGGATGTCAAAAGAAAATAGAGTCCAATAAATTATATGGGCTTAAGCAATATATTCATAAAGATAATTCTGTATCTTTGCAAACCTTGGCTACCAAACTTTCTGGAGATGGAGTTGAAGTATCACATGTAACAGTTGGAGTGTATTTAAGGGAGCTTGGTTATAAAAGTGGTCTTCCAAATGGCATACCAATGCTAACAGCTGACCAAAAGGCAAACTGAGTTGCATGGGTCACAAATCACTTAAATAATCAATAGGAAAGGATCTTATTTTCAGATAAAACAGCTTTCTAACTGTTTAGAAATATAATATTAGTTTGGTATAAAGATTCTAGACCAATATGGCCACTTCCTAAAAATTACCAAAAAGTTTTTGTCTGGGATAGATTTTGTGTCAAGGACAAAACCAGTTTATACTATTTTATAGGTATCATAAATGCAAGGTTTTACACAGAAATTTTGAAGAGATATCTTTCAGAAATCAGGAGAATGCTTGAAAGAAGATGGTGATCTCAACAAGATAATAACCCAAAGTATTAAGAGAGCTTGGTTATAAAAGTGATCTTCCAAATGACATATCAATATTAACAGCTGACCAAAAGGCAAACTGAGTTGCATGGGCCACAAATTACTTAAATAATCAATAGGAAAGAATCTTATTTTCAGATAAAATAGCTTTCTAACTGTTTAGAAATATAATATTAATTTGATATAAAGATTCTAGACCAATATGGCCACTTCCTAAAAATTACCAAAAAGTTTTTGTCTGGGATAGATTTTGTGTCAAGAACAAAATCAGTTTATACTATTTTATAGGTATCATAAATACAAGATTTTAAATAGAAATTTTGGAGGGATATCTTTTAGAAATTAGGAGAATGCTTGAAAAAAGATAGTGATTTCAACAAGATAATGACCCAAAGTATTAAGAAAGCTTGATTATAAAAGTGATCTTTCAAATAGTATATTAATGCTAATAGCTAATCAAAAGACAAACTGAGTTACATGAATCACAAATTACTTAAATAATCAATAGGAAAGAATCTTATTTTTGAATAAAACAGCTTTTTAACTATTTAGAAATATAATATTAATTTGGTATAAAGATTCTAGACTAATATGATCACTTTTTAAAAATTATCAAAAAGTTTTTGTCTGGGATAGATTTTGTATCAAGAACAAAATCAGTTTATACTATTTTATAAGTATTATAAATGCAAGATTTTACATAGGAATTTTGGAGGAATATCTTTCAGAAATTAGCAAAATGCTTAAAAGAAGATGGTGATTTCAATAAGATAATAATCCAAAGTATTAAGAGAGCTTGATTATAAAAGTAATCTTCCAAATGATATATCAATACTAATAGCTAATCAAAAGGTAAACTGAATTGCATGGGTCACAAATTACTTAAATAATTAATAGGAAAGAATTTTATTTTAGATAAAACAGCTTTCTAACTATTTAAAAATTAGTTTGATATAAAAATTCTAGATCAATATGATTATTTCTTAAAAATTATCAAAAAGTTTTTGTCTGAAATAGATTTTATATCAAGAACAAAACCAATTTATATTATTCTATAGATATCATAAATGCAAGATTTTATATAGAAATTTTGAAGAGATATCTTTCAGAAATTAGGAAAATGCTTGGAAAAAGATGATAATTTTAATAAGATAATGATCCAAAGTATATGAGCCAGATGATCAAGAAGTTTTTAAAGAAAAACTTTCCAGAGTTTATAAACTGATCTTTTAATAGTCTAGATCTTAATTCTATTGAAAATCTGTGAGAAATTATTAAATATTGTATTGAAAAATATATATTAAGTAATATTTCTAAGCTAGAATAATATATAATAAAGAAGTAAAAAAGTATTTCTAATGAATTTTTGATTAATCTTATTTTATTAATATATGATCATTATTAGCAAGTAATAGATAATAATAGTAAATAAATCAATAATTAATAAAATATATTTTTTATACTGATAAAAATCTTGCTTTCTAATTTTCAAACAAGCAATTTCATGTTAAAATTGAAGCAGTTTTTATGAAGTTATTGTAAAAAAGTAAAGATTAATTTTTTTCTTAACATACTATATCTTCTAATATGACCATCTTTTGTATTAATTATATAATCTTCTAGTTATATAGTATAATATATCAGGAAAATTTACACAGAAGATTCAAAATATAGCAATGTTATTTGAAATAGAATTCACACAGAAAACTAAATCAAAAGCAGACAAGAGATTATTGATTTAAAACTTATTCTTTATTTTGATATATTGGTACTTAAAATTACAGAACAGAAATAGCATCTTTAAATAATAAAAATAATGTTATATAAAATTAATAATAAGATAAATAAATTAATAATAGAAAATACTTATATAGTAGTATCTCTGAAAGATGCTTATTAATGAATAAATAAAGTAATAAATGATTATAAATGAAATATATAAATCAAGTAATAAGCTAGTTAAATTAGTAGAATAAGAGAAAAGAGAAATTCTATTAAGAAACTATCTATAGCTAAAATAATTCAAATAGATCATGTGACTTTTCTTGACAAGATCAGATGATTGTGATGCAGTAATTTATATATAATACAGTATGTGACATAACAATAATCTGCAAAATAAAAGATAAATATTGTTACAGCAAATTGATAAGTGGATTTTTACTTTGATTCATCCTAATGATATAGGATTGGGAAAGACTAAAATAATAAAAGATAACGAGAGAGGAATTAGACTATAACTTTCAATAATAACAAAGATTTCTAAGGCCTGTGCCAATATTTATGAATATTATTTTAACAAAAGATAAATAAATAAAGGAAGAATAAAATAAATCAAAGAAATTATAAAGATTGACTGAGTGAAGCCACTAGTAATCAATATAATTCAAGATTTGAATTGATTAAATAGTATAAACTATTAATCAAAGAAGGCTA